CTTGGTGCATCTTCCTAATGCTTGGTGCATCTTCCTAATGCTTGGTGCATCTTCCTAATGCTTGGTGCATCTTCTTGGTGCATCTTCCTATGCTTGGTGCATCTTCCTATGCTTGGTGCATCTTCCTAATGCTTGGTGCATCTTCCTAATGCTTGGTGCATCTTCCTATGCTTGGTGCATCTTCCTAATGCTTGGTGCATCTTCCTAATGCTTGGTGCATCTTCCTAATGCTTGGTGCATCTTCCTAATGCTTGGTGCATCTTCCTAATGCTTGGTGCATCTTCCTAATGCTTGGTGCATCTTCCTAATGCTTGGTGCATCTTCCTAATGCTTGGTGCATCTTCCTAATGCTTGGTGCATCTTCCTAATGCTTGGTGCATCTTCCTAATGCTTGGTGCAATGCTTGGTGCATCTTCCTAATGCTTGGTGCATCTTCCTAATGCTTGGTGCATCTTCCTAATGCTTGCATCTTCCTGCTTGGTGCATGTTGGTGCATCTTCCTAATGCTTGGTGCATCTTCCTAATGCTTGGTGCATCTTCCTAATGCTTGGTGCATGCTTGGTGCATCTTCCTAATGCTTGGTGCATCTTCCTGCTTGGTGCATCTTCCTAATGCTTGGTGCATCTTCCTGCTTGGTGCATCTTCCTATGCTTGGTGCATCTTCCTAATGCTTGGTGCATCTTCCTAATGCTTGGTGCATCTTCCTAATGCTTGGTGCATCTTCCTAATGCTTGGTGCATCTTCCTAATCTTCCTAATGCTTGGTGCATCTTCCTAATGCTTGGTGCATCTTCCTAATGCTTGGTGCATCTTCCTAATGCTTGGTGCATCTTCCTAATGCTTGGTGCATCTTCCTAATGCTTGGTGCATCTTCCTAATGCTTGGTGCATCTTCCTAATCTTCCTAATGCTTGGTGCATCTTCCTAATGCTTGGTGCATCTTCCTAATGCTTGGTGCATCTTCCTAATGCTTGGTGCATCTTCCTAATGCTTGGTGCATCTTCCTAATGCTTGGTGCATCTTCCTAATGCTTGGTGCATCTTCCTAATGCTTGGTGCATCTTCCTAATGCTTGGTGCATGCATCTTCCTAATGCTTGGTGCATCTTCCTATGCTTGGTGCATCTTCCTAATGCTTGGTGCATCTTCCTAATGCTTGGTGCATCTTCCTAATCTTCCTAATGCTTGGTGCATCTTCCTAATGCTTGGTGCATCTTCCTAATGCTTGGTGCATCTTCCTAATGCTTGGTGCATCTTCCTAATGCTTGGTGCATCTTCCTAATGCTTGGTGCATCTTCCTAATGCTTGGTGCATCTTCCTAGTGCTTGGTGCATCTTCCTAATGCTTGGTGCATCTTCCTAATGCTTGGTGCATCTTCCTAATGCTTGGTGCATCTTCCTAATGCTTGGTGCATCTTCCTAATGCTTGGTGCATCTTCCTAATGCTTGGTGCATCTTCCTAATGCTTGGTGCATCTTCCTAATGCTTGGTGCATCTTCCTAATGCTTGGTGCATAATGCTTGGTGCATCTTCCTAATGCTTGGTGCATCTTCCTAATGCTTGGTGCATCTTCCTAATGCTTGGTGCATCTTCCTAATGCTTGGTGCATCTTCCTAATGCTTGGTGCATCTTCCTAATGCTTGGTGCATCTTCCTAATGCTTGGTGCATCTTCCTAATGCTTGGTGCATCTTCCTAATGCTTGGTGCATCTTCCTAATGCTTGGTGCATCTTCCTAATGGTGCATCTTCCTAATGCTTGGTGCATCTTCCTAATGCTTGGTGCATCTTCCTAATGCTTGGTGCATCTTCCTAATGCTTGGTGCATCTTCCTAATGCTTGGTGCATCTTCCTAGTGCTTGGTGCATCTTCCTAGTGCTTGGTGCATCTTCCTAATGCTTGGTGCATCTTCCTAATGCTTGGTGCATCTTCCTAATGCTTGGTGCATCTTCCTAATGCTTGGTGCATCTTCCTAATGCTTGGTGCATCTTCCTAATGCTTGGTGCATCTTCCTAATGCTTGGTGCATCTTCCTAATGCTTGGTGCATCTTCCTAATGCTTGGTGCATCTTCCTAATTCTTGGTGCATCTTCCTAATTCTTGGTGCATCTTCCTAATGCTTGGTGCATCTTCCTATTGCTTGGTGCATCTTCCTAATGCTTGGTGCATCTTCCTATGCTTGGTGCATCTTCCTAATGCTTGGTGCATCTTCCTATCTTCCTATGCTTGGTGCATCTTCCTAGTGCTTGGTGCATCTTCCTAATGCTTGGTGCATCTTCCTAATGCTTGGTGCATCTTCCTAATGCTTGGTGCATCTTCCTAGTGCTTGGTGCATCTTCCTAATGCTTGGTGCATCTTCCTAATGCTTGGTGCATCTTCCTAATGCTTGGTGCATCTTCCTAATGCTTGGTGCATCTTCCTAGTGCTTGGTGCATCTTCCTAATGCTTGGTGCATCTTCCTAATGCTTGGTGCATCTTCCTAATGCTTGGTGCATCTTCCTAATGCTTGGTGCATCTTCCTAATGCTTGGTGCATCTTCCTAATGCTTGGTGCATCTTCCTAATGCTTGGTGCATCTTCCTATGCTTGGTGCATCTTCCGGTATGCTTGGTGCATCTTCCTAATGCTTGGTGCATCTTCCTAATGCTTGGTGCATCTTCCTAATGCTTGGTGCATCTTCCTTGGTGCATGCTTGGTGCATCTTCCTAATGCTTGGTGCATCTTCCTAATGCTTGGTGCATCTTCCTAATGCTTGGTGCATCTTCCTAATGCTTGGTGCATCTTCCTAATGCTTGGTGCATCTTCCTAATGCTTGGTGCATCTTCCTAATGCTTGGTGCATCTTCCTAATGCTTGGTGCATCTTCCTAATGCTTGGTGCATCTTCCTAATGCTTGGTGCATCTTCCTAATGCTTGGTGCATCTTCCTAATGCTTGGTGCATCTTCCATATGCTTGGTGCATCTTCCTAATGCTTGGTGCATCTTCCTAATGCTTGGTGCATCTTCCTAATGCTTGGTGCATCTTCCTAATGCTTGGTGCATCTTCCTAATGCTTGGTGCATCTTCCTAATGCTTGGTGCATCTTCCTAATGCTTGGTGCATCTTCCTAATGCTTGGTGCATCTTCCTAATGCTTGGTGCATCTTCCTAATGCTTGGTGCATCTTCCTAATGCTTGGTGCATCTTCCTAATGCTTGGTGCATCTTCCTAATGCTTGGTGCATCTTCCTAATGCTTGGTGCATCTTCCTAATGCTTGGTGCATCTTCCTAATGCTTGGTGCATCTTCCTAATGCTTGGTGCATCTTCCTAGTGCTTGGTGCATCTTCCTAATGCTTGGTGCATCTTCCTAATGCTTGGTGCATCTTCCTAATGCTTGGTGCATCTTCCATATGCTTGGTGCATCTTCCTAGTGCTTGGTGCATCTTCCTAATGCTTGGTGCATCTTCCTAATGCTTGGTGCATCTTCCTAATGCTTGGTGCATCTTCCTAATGCTTGGTGCATCTTCCTAGTGCTTGGTGCATCTTCCTAATGCTTGGTGCATCTTCCTAATGCTTGGTGCATCTTCCTAATGCTTGGTGCATCTTCCTAATGCTTGGTGCATCTTCCTAATGCTTGGTGCATCTTCCTAATGCTTGGTGCATCTTCCTAATGCTTGGTGCATCTTCCTAATGCTTGGTGCATCTTCCTAATGCTTGGTGCATCTTCCTAATGCTTGGTGCATCTTCCTAATGCTTGGTGCATCTTCCTAATGCTTGGTGCATCTTCCTAATGCTTGGTGCATCTTCCTAATGCTTGGTGCATCTTCCTAATGCTTGGTGCATCTTCCTAATGCTTGGTACATCTTCCTAATGCTTGGTGCATCTTCCTAGTGCTTGGTGCATCTTCATAATGCTTGGTGCATCTTCCTAATGCTTGGTACATCTTCCTAGTGCTTGGTGCATCTTCCTAGTGCTTGGTGCATGTTCCTAATGCTTGGTGCATCTTCCTAATGCTTGGTGCATTTTCCTAATGCTTGGTGCATCTTCCTAATGCTTGGTGCATCTTCCTAATGCTTGGTGCATCTTTCTAATGCTTGGTGCATCTTCCTAGTGCTTAGTGCATCTTCCTAATGCTTGGTGCATCTTCCTAGTGCTTGGTGCATCTTTCTAATGCTTGGTGCATCTTCCTAGTGCTTGGTCCATCTTCCTAGTGCTGGGCGCATCTTCCTAATGCTTGGTGCATCTTCCTAATGATTGGTGCATCTTCCTAGTGCTTGGTGCATCTTCCTAGTGCTTGGTGCATGTTCCTAATGCTTGGTGCATCTTCCTAATGCTTGGTGCATCTTCCTAATGATTGGTGCATCTTCCTAGTGCTTGGTGCATCTTCCTAGTGCTTGGTGTATCTTCCTAATGCTTGGTGCATCTTCCTAATGCTTGGTGCATCTTCCTAATTCTTGGTGCATCTTCCTAATGCTTGGTGCATCTTCCTAATGCTTGGTGCATCTTCCTAATTCTTGGTGCATCTTCCTAATGCTTGGTGCATCTTCCTAATGCTTGGTGCATCTTCCTAATGCTTGGTGCATCTTCCTAATTCTTGGTGCATCTTCCTAATTCTTGGTGCATCTTCCTAATGCTTGGTGCATCTTCCTAATGCTTGGTGCATCTTCCTATTGCTTGGTGCGTCTATCTAAGGCTTGGATCGTCTACCTAAGGCATGGCTTTGCCAGTATTTAGCTACGGGACCTATTGACAGAGCCCTCTCAGGAAAAATAAAAACAAAATATGTTCTCTAATACAATATTTTATTACTAGTCTCAGTTGATCTTTACATTTGCAACACCTATATAATAATATATCCTGAATGAGTGATAACAACATCAGTATTTTCTGAAGCAAACTTGAAGGTTCGAGGCCGCAAGATTAATAATCTTACACTACAACCATCCAGGAAGCTCGGGAGATTACTACAGTAATATTTACCTAACATTATCTCTAAGACCTTGCCATCTTAAAACCCTGTAATGATATGCAGCAACTGGGGCACTTTACTGCAAGATTAATGACAAGCAGCACCCGGAGCACACATTGTTGTATAATGACAAGCAGCACCCGGAGCACACATTGTTGTATAATGACAAGCAGCACCCGGAGCACACATTGTTGTATAATGACAAGCAGCACCCGGAGCACACATTGTTGTATAATGACAAGCAGCACCCGGAGCACACATTGTTGTATAATGACAAGCAGCACCCGGAGCACACATTGTTGTATAATGACAAGCAGCACCCGGAGCACACATTGTTGTATAATGACAAGCAGCACCCGGAGCACACATTGTTGTACAAGCAGCACCCGGAGCACACATTGTTGTATAATGACAAGCAGCACCCGGAGCACACATTGTTGTATAATGACAAGCAGCACCCGGAGCACACATTGTTGTATAATGACAAGCAGCACCCGGAGCACACATTGTTGTATAATGACAAGCAGCACCCGGAGCACACATTGTTGTATAATGACAAGCAGCACCCGGAGCACACATTGTTGTATAATGACAAGCAGCACCCGGAGCACACATTGTTGTATAATGACAAGCAGCACCCGGAGCACACATTGTTGTATAATGACAAGCAGCACCCGGAGCACACATTGTTGTATAATGACAAGCAGCACCCGGAGCACACATTGTTGTATAATGACAAGCAGCACCCGGAGCACACATTGTTGTATAATGACAAGCAGCACCCGGAGCACACATTGTTGTATAATGACAAGCAGCACCCGGAGCTCACATTGTTGTATAATGACAAGCAGCACCCGGAGCACACATTGTTGTATAATGACAAGCAGCACCCGGAGCACACATTGTTGTATAATGACAAGCAGCACCCGGAGCACACATTGTTGTAGAAATAATGTAAATAAAAATATCACCTAAAGAGTAATAATAATAACTGAATATAAACATTTCCTTACTTAGCAATATATGTTATGCTGTGTGAGGGATTTGTCCCATTGGTTACACATCCGTCAAATATTATACATAAATATAGATACATTTTATTACTTAATAATTAAAGAGAGAAGGATTTTATAGCAGACAAATAATGTGTTGTCAACTTAACTAACGTGAAAATTTATTTATACCTAATAAATTTTGCTGTAACATATATGCAGAACATTCTTTGGCAAAACCCTTGAGAGAAGATTGTTTTCTGGGTTGAGTATTATTGACACATCTTCAACATTATCATTTTCAACAACAACATAACCAATAAACACGGATCCATCAATAATGCTAACAATATTAAATGTTGATTATTCCCAGCACTCGTCACTCGGGGGCAGAATATAACTCTGTACGGACGAAAGAATAAATATATTAATAAATTAACTCAATATATCATAAATCATAATATATCTATAGTGTAAGAGAATGTCTGCGTCTGTTGAAAGATGGAGTCCTCACGGTTGGGGCCAGGCTCACCAAACTGGTGGAGGGAATGGTCTGGGGAAGGGGATGAACATAGGCTGGTCGGGGTCGCCAGAATTCATAAGGCCCATTCCACATTCAGACCCCAACGGCGATTTTTGGCACTGCAGGACTGCTATACTATTTTCAAAACAAGCTCTTTGACTAAAACAAACTATTTGATAGTAATATGCACCATTATTCATTGATCTTGGGAAAATAAAAAATTTTCCAGCTGTCAGTAATTAGCCCGACCTTATATCAAACAGACGATCCTTAAACAGCGTTAAAGGTTTCTCAAGCAACGGCTCTGTACCAGAGTAAGGGGTAACAATCCTGTTGTTAGTGTTACACACCACGGCGCTGTACCTGAGTAAGGGGTAACAATCCTGTTGTTAGTGTTACACACCACGGCTCTGTACCAGAGTAAGGGGTAACAATCCTGTTGTTAGTGTTACACACCACAGCGCTGTACCAGAGTAAGGGGTAACAATCCTGTTGTTAGTGTTACACACCACAGCGCTGTACCAGAGTAAGGGGTAACAATCCTGTTGTTAGTGTTAAACACCACGGCGCTGTACCAGAGTAAGGGGTAACAATCCTGTTGTTAGTGTTACACACCACAGCGCTGTACCAGAGTAAGGGGTAACAATCCTGTTGTTAGTGTTACACACCACGGCTCTGTACCAGAGTAAGGGGTAACAATCCTGTTGTTAGTGTTACACACCACGGCTCTGTACCAGAGTAAGGGGTAACAATCCTGTTGTTAGTGTTACACACCACGGCGCTGCACCAGAGTAAGGGGTAACAATCCTGTTGTTAGTGTTACACACCACGGCTCTGTACCAGAGTAAGGGGTAACAATCCTGTTGTTAGTGTTACACACCACGGCGCTGTACCTGAGTAAGGGGTAACTATCCTGTTGTTAGTATTACACACCACTGACCTACTCCCAATGACCACCACTCACACATTAGATTAATATATTTTTTTATAACAGGGAGAGAGATGAACAAAGCAGAACTTATTGCAGAAGGAGGAAAGAATCGAGGCAATTACAGAAGCACCATACTGTCCCCCGAGCTTAAAGCGGCAGCCAAAAGCCTTCGTGAGAACAAGGAGATAGTTGTCTGGAGAGGTAACAAGTCGCCAATATACGTCATTCTTAAAAAAGACGAATATCTGGCGAAAATGAACCTCATACTCTCTAACCAAACTAAATTCCAAAGGGTAACGAAGGACACTACAGCCGAATCGAAAGCAAAGGTCAACAGACTAATCGAAACTGTGAACGCCAAGAAATCAGGACTCCACCTGCCAAAGATTATTTGGGAATATAAACCTGGATATGCGTATGGAAATGTCAAGACACACAAGCCTGGAAACCCACTTCGGCCAATCATTAGCCAGATACCCACACCCACGTACAGACTAGCAAAGCGACTCAACGGCCTGCTGACTCCTTATGTCCCTTGCACCTTCAGCCTGAAGTCGCCAAAGGAATTTGTTGACTTACTGCGGGGCACACGGGCCACAGGAATAAGAGCCTCGTTGGACGTAGAATCGCTGTTCACTAACGTACCTGTGGACGAGACAATCGGGATGATAGCCGACAGAGTGTATCGTGATCCAGCCTGTACTCCTCTTGACATACCAGAAAATATTCTGAGGAAACTACTCCAAGCTTGTACTAAAGAAGCACCCTTCTTGAGCCCGGATGGGCACATGTATAAGCAAGTAGATGGGGTCGCCATGGGTTCTCCCCTAGGTGTCCTGTTTGCAAACTTCTACATGGGTACCATCGAGCAAAAAGTCTTAGTCGACATGAACATGAAACCGGCCATATACTGCAGGTATGTTGACGACATTTTTACACAGGTACCTGATGTCAGACATCTGCAGGAGTTGAAGGAGGCATTTGAGCGGAGTTCCGTGCTGCGTTTCACTTACGAGATGGAAAAGGATGGGAAGCTGCCCTTTCTAGATGTAACAGTCATGGAAAAGAGCAGAGGTTTCCACACTGCAGTCTACACTAAGGAAACGAACATAGGAATGTGCCTAAATGCCAAAAGCGACTGCCCAGATAGGTACAAGAGGAGTGTTGTTAACGCATATGTCGACCGTGCTCTCAGCCACAGCTCAGAATGGAAGCAAGTCGACGAAGAACTCTGTAGGGTAAGGCAGGTCCTAGTCAACAACGGCTTCTCCAATGGTTTCGTCGAAGACATCATAAGAAGGAAAGTGAAACGCCATGCAACCTCTGAAGAGACAACCAACACAACACCTATACCCCCTATTAGACTATTTTACAGGAACTTCTTTTCCACAGCTCATAAAACGGAGGAAAGGGTCTTGAAAGATATTGTTAATAGAAACGTTATCCCTACAGACAAAAATCAGAGGATACAACTGACGATTTACTATAAAACCAGAAAAACGGCCAGCCTACTCATGAGAAACTCTCCAGACACAAAACAGAACGCTTTAAAAGAGACTAACGTCGTCTATGCCTTCAAATGCCCTCTTGGGGACTGTAAGCTCCAAAAAAAACAGTATATAGGCAAGACAACAACATCTCTTTCTAGGCGTTTAACGATGCATAAGCAACAGGGCTCCATTAAGGAACATATAATCTCTTCCCACAACCAAACCATCGCCAGAGAAATCCTAGTAAACAACACAGAAATCATCGATAGATACAGCGATAGCAGGCGGCTTGACGTTTGCGAGGCACTACACATCAAGAAGTCAACACCAGCAATCAACAGCCAATTAATGCACAACTATATTCTACCCACCTCAAGACTCCGCTCCAATATAGAAGCATCAAGAAATATGGACCAATAGGCTTTCTACAATCACTTCTATTCAATACCCATTGTTTCATGTTCTGGCTTGTGTTGATGAAATTAATACCTTATTAAATACCACCTCACCCCATCCACCTCACTCAAATGTAGATATAAACAAAATCGGAGATGTGTAAGTTCTATTCAGTTGTGTATGTGTTAACTAAAGTCTTTGAAAATGTAATAAGTTTTACGAAACGCGCTCAAGTGTCGCGTCAGACTAGAAATAAAAATGAATTTTGGAGAATTGATTTTTGAATTACCTCCAACAGTGAAAAGAAATGTACGAAAGATTGAGAAAATTCGTGTTAGAATTATTAATCTTACTTTTTCGGTGATATTTAATAATATATATATATATATATATATATATATATATATATATATATATATATATATATATATATATATATATATATATATATATATATATATATATATATTGGTGGATAGATGGCTGCAAAGATGGATGGATATAAATATAGATGGATGGATATAATGATAGATGGATGGATATAAAGATAAATGGATTGATAAATGGATATATATATATATATATATATATATATATATATATATATATATATATATATATATATATATATATATATATATACATATATATATATATATATATATATATATATATATATATATATATATATTTATATATTATATATATATATATATATATATATATATATATATATTTATATATGTATATATATATATATATGTATATATATATATGTATATAAATGTATATATATATATATATATATATATATATATATATATTATATATGTATATATATATATATATATGTATATATATATGTATATAAATGTATATATATATATATATATATATATATATATATATATATATATATATATATATATATATATATTATATATATATATATATATATATATATATTATATATATATATATATATATATATATATATCTATATATATATATATATATATATATATATATATATATATATATATATATATATAGACATATGTCGTACCTAGTAGCCAGAACTCACTTGTAGAAATAATGTAAATAAAATATCACCTAAAGAGTAATAATAATAACTGAATATAAACATTTCGTTACTTAGCAATATATGTTATGCTGTGTGAGGGATTTGTCCCATTGGTTACACATCCCTCAAATATCATAGATAAATATAGATACATTTTATTACTTAATAATTAAAGAGAGAAGGATTTTATAGCAGACAAATAATGTGTTGTCAACTTAACTAACGTGAAAATTTATTTATACCTAATAAATTTTGCGGTAATATATATGCAGAACATTCTTTGGCAAAACCCTTGAGAGAGGATTGTTTTCTGGGTTGAGTATTATTGACACATCTTCAACATTATCATTTTCAACAACAACATAACCAATAAACACGGGTCCATCAATAATGCTAACAATACTTAATGTTGATTATTCCCAGCACTCGTCACTCGGGGGCAGAATATAACTCTGTATGGACGAAAGAATAAATATATTAATAAATTAACTCAATATATCATAAATCATAATATATCTATAGTGTAAGAGAATGTCTGCGTCTGTTGAAAGATGGAGTCCTCACGGTTGGGGCCAGGCTCACCAAACTGGTGGAGGGAATGGTCTGGGGAAGGGGATGAACATAGGCTGGTCGGGGTCGCCAGAATTCATATAGCCCATTCCACATTCAGACCCCAACGGCGATTTTTGGCACTGCAGGACTGCTATACTATTTTCAAAACAAGCTCTTTGACTAAAACAAACTATTTGATAGTAATATGCACCATTATTCATTGATCTTGGGAAAATAAACAATTTTCCAGCTGTCAGTAATTATCCCGACCTTATATCAAACAGACGATCCTTAAACAGCGTTAAAGGTTTCTCAAGCAACGGCTCTGTACCAGAGTAAGGGGTAACAATCCAGTTGTTAGTGTTACACACCACGGCGCTGTACCAGAGTAAGGGGTAACAATCCTGTTGTTAATATTACACACCACAGCGCTGTACCTGAGTAAGGGGTAACTATCCTGTTGTTAGTATTGCACACCACTGACCTCCTCCCAATGACCACCACTCACACATTAGATTAATATATTTTTTTATAACAGGGAGAGAGATGAACAAAGCAGAACTTATTGCGGAAGGAGGAAAGAATCGAGGCAATTACAGAAGCACCATACTGTCCCCTGAACTCAAAGCGGCAGCCAAAAGCCTTCGTGAGAACAAGGAGATAGTCGTCAGAAGAGGTGACAAGTCGCCAATATACGTCATTCTTAAAAAAGACGAATATCTGGCGAAAATGAACCTCATACTCTCTGACCAAACTAAATTCCAAAGGGTAACGAAGGACACTACAGCCGAATTGAAAGCAAAGGTCAGCAGACTAATCGAAACTGTGAACGCCAAGAAATCAGGACTCCACCTGCCGAAGATTATTTGGGAATATAAACCTGGATATGCGTATGGAAATGTCAAGACACACAAGCCTGGAAACCCACTTCGGCCAATCATTAGCCAGATACCCACACCCACGTACAGACTAGCAAAGCGACTCAACGGCCTGCTGATTCCTTATGTCCCTTGCGCCTTCAGCCTGAAGTCGCCAAAGGAATTTGTTGACTTACTGCGGGGCACACGGGCCACAGGAATAAGAGCCTCGTTGGACGTAGAATCGCTATTCACTAACGTACCAGTGGACGAGACAATCGGGATGATAGCCGACAGAGTGTATCGTGATCCAGCCTGTACTCCTCTTGACATACCAGAAAATATCCTAAGGAAACTACTCCAAGCTTGTACTAAAGAGGCACCCTTCTTGAGCCCGGATGGGCACATGTATAAGCAAGTAGATGGGGTCGCCATGGGTTCTCCCCTAGGTGTCCTGTTTGCAAACTTTTACATGGGTACCATCGAGCAAAAAGTCTTAGTCGACATGAACATGAAACCGGCCATATACTGCAGGTATGTTGACGACATTTTTACACAGGTACCTGATGTCAGACATCTGCAGGAGTTGAAGGAGGCATTTGAGCGGAGTTCCGTGCTGCGTTTCACTTACGAGATGGAAAAGGATGGGAAGCTGCCCTTTCTAGATCTAACAGTCATGGAAAAGAGCGGAGGTTTCCACACTGCAGTCTACACTAAGGAAACGAACATAGGAATGTGCCTAAATGCCAAAAGCGACTGCCCAGATAGGTACAAGAGGAGTGTTGTTAACGCATATGTCGACCGTGCTCTCAGCCACAGCTCAGAATGGAAGCAAGTCGACGAAGAACTCTGTAGGGTAAGGCAGGTCCTAGTCAACAACGGCTTCTCCAATGGTTTCGTCGAAGACATCATAAGAAGGAAAGTGAAACGCCATGCAACCTCTGAAGAGACAACCAACACAACACCTATACCCCCTATTAGACTATTTTACAGGAACTTCTTTTCCACAGCTCATAAAACGGAGGAAAGGGTCCTGAAAGATATTGTTAATAGAAACGTTATCCCTACAGACAAAAATCAGAGGATACAACTGACGATTTACTATAAAACCAGAAAAACGGCCAGCCTACTCATGAGAAACTCTCCAGACACAAAACAGAACGCTTTAAAAGAGACTAACGTCGTCTATGCCTTCAAATGCCCTCTTGGGGACTGTAAGCTCCAAAAAAAACAGTATATAGGCAAGACAACAACATCTCTTTCTAGGCGTTTAACGATGCATAAGCAACAGGGCTCCATTAAGGAACATATAATCTCTTCCCACAACCAAACCATCGCCACAGAAATCCTAGTAAACAACACAGAAATCATCGATAGATACAGCGATAGCAGGCGGCTTGACGTTTGCGAGGCATTACACATCAAGACGTCAACACCAGCAATCAACAGCCAATTAATGCACAACTATATTCTACCCACCTCAAGACTCCGCTCCAATATAGAAGCATCAAGAAATATGGACCAATAGGCTTTCTACAATCACTTCTATTCAATACCCATTGTTTCATGTTCTGGCTTGTGTTGATGAAATTAATACCTTATTAAATACCACCTCACCCCATCCACCTCACTCAAATGTAGATATAAACAAAACCGGAGATGTGTAAGTTCTATTCAGTTGTGTATGTGTTAACTAAAGTCTTTGAAAATGTAATAAGTTTTACGAAACGCGCTCAAGTGTCGCGTCAGACTAGAAATAAAAATGAATTTGGAGAATTGATTTTTGAATTACCTCCAACAGTGAAAAGAAATGTACGAAAGATTGAGAAAATTCGTGTTAGAATTATTAATCTTACTTTTTCGGTCATATTTAATAATATATATATATATATATATATATATATATATATATATATATATATATATATATATATATATATATATATATATATATATATATATATATATATATATAGTCGTACCTAGTAGCCAGAACGCACTTCTCAGCCTACTATGCAAGGCCCGATTTGCCTAATAAGCCAAGTTTTCATGAATTAATGTTTTTTCGACTACCTAACCTTCCTAACCTAACCTAACCTATCTTTTTCTGCTACCTAACCTAACCTAACCTATAAAGATAGGTTAGGTTAGGTTAGGTAGGGTTGGTTAGGTTCGGTCATATATCTACGCTAATTTTAACTAAAATAAAACAAAATTGACCTCATACGTAATGAAATGGGTAGCTTTATCATTTCATAAGAAAAAAATTTCGAGAAAATATATTAATTCAGGAAAACTTGGCTTATTAGGCAAATCTGGCCTTGCATAGTAGGCTGAGAAGTGCGTTCTGGCTACTAGGTACGACATATATATATATATATATATATATATATATATATATATATATATATATATATATATATATATATATATATATATATATATATATATTGGTGGATAGATGGCTGCAAAGATGGATGGATATAAAGATAGATGGATATAATGATAGATGGATGGATATAAAGATAAATGGATATATATATATATATATATATATATATATATATATATATATATTTATATATGTATATATATATATATGTAATATATATATATATATATATATATATATATATATATATATATATATATATATATATATATATATATATATATATAGATAGATAGATATAGATATATATATATGGATAGATGGACAAAGAGATGAATAGATGGATGGGTGGACAGAAGGAGAGTTAGATAAAAAAATGGGTTGTTAGATGTATAGAAATATAGATGGACAGATAGAAGAATAGATGAATGGATATGTGGATATATAGAAGGATATGTAGATGGGTTGATATATGGATACATGGATTGATAGACGATAAATAGATGCACAGATGAAGGAAGAGACAGATGGATAGATAGATGGACAGATAGATGGATGAATTGATAGGTGGATCTATAGAAAAACTGACAGATGCATGGATTTATACAGATGGAGAGAAAGGAGGCAGACAGTGACAGACGGAACAGGTCGGGTACCCTTAGTCTATATTATAGAGGAGAATGCCAGTTTTTCTATCTGTCTGTTCATAGTTGGAGACCATACACTTGGAGCTAGGCTCACCCAGGCTGGCAGAGGGAATGGTCTGGGGTAGTGGATGAACATAGGCTGGTCAGGATTGCCAGAATTCAATAGGGAACAACGTGCCAGGGTCACATTCAGACCCCCACGACGATTTTTGGCACTTCCCATCCAGCTACACCGCTAAATGTTTTTCAAACAAATTCAAACAAAATTTTGACCCAGTAATATGCACCATTATTGACTGATCTTGGAAAAAATTAAACAATTTCCTAGTGTCAATAATTTACCAGTACTCGCATAAAACAGACGATTCTTCCACAGCTTTAAAGGTTACTCAAGTCACAGACATTTATCAGAGTAATGGGTAACTTCTCTTTTATAGTAGTTTATCACACGACTAAGCTTCTCTCACTGGCGACCACCCACACATTACATGTATAGACAGAGATAGACTGACTGAGACAAAGACGGAGACACACAGGAGCACAGAGACAGAGAAAGACAAAGACAGACACGGAGAGACACAGGCAGACAGACTTTCGTTGGATGGATAGGTAGATGGATAGATAGATGGGAAGATAGATAGATAAATGGAAGGACTGATGAATAAATACGCGGATAGATGAATGGATGGATAGACAAATATAGATAAATGTATATATGGATGGATAGATGGGTAGATGGGCAAATAGAGGAATAGATGGATGGATAAATAGATCAATAGATGGATAGATAGTTGCATAGTTCGATAGATGGATGGATTGAAAGTTGCGTAAATGGACAGACAGATAGACAGATTCATGGACAGATACATGGATAGATACATGGAAAGACATGGATTGATCGATAAATAAATAGATGGATGGGTAGATAATTGGATAGATGGTTAGATAGATGACGAGATAGACAGATAGATACAAGGACGGATGAATGTACTGATGAATAAATG